TACTTTAGGTATTATTTTTAAAAGGAAAGATTCAGACACACGTAAATAACATGATAAATGACAAAAGTAAATGACACTAAAATTACATGAAGAAAAGAGGCACAGAACTTACCTATGCTGGTGCTAGTGTTCTATTTGAAATTAATTTTTTAATTTGACTAAACAGATTTCAGTAGCCAACTTTTTTTTTTCCCCTTCAGTACTGGGGATTGAACTCAGGACCCTGCACTTGCCAGGCAAGCGCTTATTCTACCGAGCTATCTCCCTGAGCCCTTAGTATCCAACTTTTTGACACAAAAAGTTTTCTGTGAGATCATCCTCTATATCTATTACATTTATTTGGCATACTCAATTAAAACCTACATATTCAAAACAAGGTAGAGATGTTACCGCACAGCACCTTAGCTTTCCTTTGAAAAATCATACTAAAAGATCTTAGGATAAGGAGATTTTTTCGGCAAACACCTGGAAGAGGAAATTTCCTTTTAACTGCAGGAGGGAGGAGCTGAGCAACTGCAGGGATCTGAGCAACTGTCTTGGCAAGCTCAAGGATCTCAGTTCCATCCCCTGTCCTGCATGTTATGCAGGTCCTGGAACCCCTGATGTGCTGTGCCGGCCACTGAAATTGGGCATAGTAGTGCACACCTGTAATCTCTGTGCTGCGGAGGCTGAGACAGGAGTGTCTCAGCTGCACAGCAAGACCCTGTACCAAATAAACAAATTAATTAATTAATTACTTTTAAAAAATTTAACTGCAGGAGTATCCCCAAAACATCAGTACAATTTATAAAATTTTCACTAAAAATTTAAGCATAACTAACAAGTAAAATGTATTTTACTAATAGCAGAAAAGTGGGTTGGTGAGATAGCTCAGCGGACTAAGCACCTGCTTTGGCAAGTACAGGGAACGGGGTTCAATCCTGGCACCAAATGCCATGACAGCCCCATCACTGGGCGCACTGAGCCAGCCACCAAGACCAGGCGTGGTGCCACATGTCTGTAATCCCTGCACTGGGAAGGCTGAAAATAGGAGAATCACTACAAGTCTAAGCTACATAGTGAGACCTGTACCAAACACATAAAAATAATAACAAAAATAAAAAATAGCAGAAAAGTAGAAACTTAACTGTCTGACAGAATACACGACAGAGATTAAAATAAGCTCCACTTATACATATCAATATTTTCAAAATATATTAAGTAAAAAAGACTGCAGAAAGTATACTTAAAGTAGAACACCTATGTAGGTCAGAACAGTAACTACAGACATCACCAATACATACTCAGACAGTAACACAGGAGAACATGCCAGGCTAAAGGGAACGAGCAGCACAGCAGCACTTCCTAATGGGGAAGAAATGAGGATGCAAAGAGAGGCCTAAAGTTTAGTTCTAGCTTCTCCACTCCTTTGTCTTACAAAAAGTGGTAACTGTGTAAGTAAGGAGGGAAAGATGGGTTGAAGGAAGGAGGGGGGATTGGGAAAAAAAGAGGAATCAAGACATACCATGTACAAGTAAGTATACATTCCCTAAGATGAATACGATCATTATGGATATCTAAAACGTACCAATAAACTTAAAAAAGTAATGAATATGGCAAATGCTGACACAAATTTAGCATTAGTGATATACATATTTTTCATGTTTGCAATATTTCATAAATAAAAATATAAAAATCAGCTAAGAAAATATTTATCACTACACACTGTTATACTTATCACCACATGTAAGTAACTGTATTACATATCATTACTTAAAAGGTGACACACTATTAGAGGAAGTTTTTTACAAGCAATTTTATTCATTAACATTTTAATTGTTAGGAATCAATTTAAATAAATTTTAGTTTTTTACCTCAAACTTAAGAAAATCATGCTAAACCTTTACATTATACCTACAACGTCTATACTATATCTCAAAATCTCTGCATTTCAGCAACTTTAATTTCAAAGCCCTTTATCTTTCTTTCTATACAAAAATGAAATTATTCCCCATGACACTATTCTAGTTTTCTAATCTCGATATGAATATCTAACAATTTTTTCTCCAAAAGCCATAAAAAAGAGGGATTTCAGCACCTTTTCTCAGTATGATTAATCCCAATTGATTGTTTTTCCTAAAAAAATAAATTCTCAGCAATGAAACTGGTGTGTTTATTACATATAAGGATTTTCCTTAACAAAAACCAAGCAGTTGATTAACAGGATAAACTAGGATTCAAAAGAAACAAACTAGCTACCATAAACTAACCATGCTTACATGCCAGGAAATTCAGCATTTTCAGTGGACTGTCTCATTTAATCCTCAAAACAACTTTGTGTGTTAGGTACAGTCAGTTCTGCTCTAACGCTTGTTTTGTAAATGTGCATTTGTTCTAACTCAGATGATGCATTATAGAGCAGTTGGGGCATAACATGAATTTTGTGCAAGATTTCTTCAGCAGGAAACACCAGGTAAAGGCAGAAAAATGTACCCAGCTAAAGGAGGCTGCATCAGAACACAGCTCACAGATCTACTGGAGATGTTAGTATCTGCACTGTTATGGGCCACTACAACCCACAACTTTCTACTTACTTGCAGCACAATCTCCTTTTACCATTTGCCTCACCTTTGGGATACCCATGTTCACACATAACCTCAGGTCTTTCTCAAAATAAAGTCATAGGGGCTGGGGAGATGGCTCAATGGAACAAGCGCTTCCCTGGCAAGCGCAAGGGCCTGAGTTCAATCCCCAGTTCCGCAAAAAAAAAAAAAAAAATCAAAATAAAGTCATGACAGTTTTTACATGTTTTTCATCATTAATAAGTATGATGTGTGCTCTTATTTTTACTAGGTTCCTTTAACAAACAAATAAGTGGCACCAATGAAGTTTTTGAGTGCTGTGGTCCTAACTAATTTCCCAATAATCCCTACATTTTTTATTGTGATTTTTGAATAGCATGATGAGTTTTAGAAACATAGGTTAGAATACAACAAAATACAGCATAATGTAACAGCTTTTAAAAATTAAAGCAGTTTTATAATAGTTTTAAAACAGCTTTTAATCAAGAGAAAATATTCCTCACAATAAATGTATTCATTATGTATTAAAAACATGTACTCACAGACTGGGGAAATAGCTCAGCAGCATAAGCACTTGCCTGGAAAGCATAAAGTTCCAAGTTTGATCCCCAGTACAAAAAAAAAAGCAAATCCTACAAACATGTATTAACACAGAATTTTTAAATAAAAAAATTAAAGGGAAAATAATTTAAATGTTAAGTACTCAAAATACAAAAAACACTGATTTTTCAGATTTGTAGTTTTCACATCTAAAATATTCATTTTATTCTTTTTTACATTTTCTATATCTCTGCTGATTTTCTTATCTTTTTGTTCTGAGTAAATTTTTCTTCCTATTGTTGACTATGATAGCTGCTTCAAAATGTCTGCGTGCAAATTCCAATACCTGTGTCATAAGAGGTTTAATTTCTATTGATATTTTTCTTGGAAAATTGACTATTTTTTTTCCTATTGGAATTTTCTTTTATATTGAGTTAAATAAACATAAAACCATTTATACTGTTTGAAGTGCACACTTCAAGAGCAGTAAGTATATTTGCACTACTATGCCTCCATTACCAATATGTACCTCCAGAACAGTTTCCCAAACCATACAGAAAAACTGTAGTATTATTGGTATTAATATTGAATTTTTCCACATGAAAGTAATGAACAGGCTAAAATTGATTGTTTTATCAATAAGCATGAAGCTTATTAACAAACATCAGTCTCCTAAGCTGAACATTTAAAAGCTGAGTTTTGAACTCAGCTTATTTTATTACATGAAGAAGCTATAAGACACATAGAAATTATTACTTCCTGTGAAAGATAAAATGTTAAAAATGTAAATAATTGAAATGCCCTCCAATATGTGCACATATGGGGTTATATTGATCAGTATAAGCCAATGATGGCAAATCTTTCGTAACTTTCAATGATAATAAGCATCCAGCTGTTCCACACGTGCCACAGGTTCACTATCTCTGGAAGCTATGATGATATAACTCATAACACAATGAGGAGTGAGAACACACAGAAATGAATGCAAAGACACTAAAAAGCAAACACCAGTTTCCTGCAGAATGAGGGCAGGCAAAGGGAGACACACAGAAACAGTCCAAATATAAAAAGAGAGGCAAACAGAAAAAAAAGGAGAGCAAACACTGACTATGGTAATGCGGCAGAGTGGTAAAGGGCTGAGCAGTGTCAGATATTCAAGAAGCAAGAGCTGATGGGCAAATACAAAGACAGAAAGAGAAATGAAGAGAAAAAGAAAACCACAAAAGCAAAAGAAAGAAAAAGCAAAGGAAAATCTGAGATCACATATAGTGTGTAAGATCTACTGAGATGCTAAGCTCTAAATAAGCAAGAAACCTTTTACAATCTTAGGAAATAGCTAAGTATTCCATCCATGAAGAACAGCAATTCAGACGTAAGAAAAATGAGGAGAACATTTTGGTTTAATATGTAAAGAGAAAACATGACTCCTATGATCAACACTGTTCCATGGTTTCAATAACTATTTTAAGCTGCACATCTGGTAAATCATTCTCCTACCAAAGTCTGAATGGTTTCACCTGTAGAGCAAGATCCCTGCACTTTAGCAGAGAACATAATGTCCTCCAGTGCCTAATGTTTTAGTGCCTTGGGGCTGCAGGGACAGCACACTAAACATGAAGGAAACATAGAGAAGAGTCTTCCTCAGTAGTCTGGAGGCAGCTGCAGATAGGGCATCTGAGAGTCTGCCTTCTAGCAGGCCCCACCCCAACTCCAACTCATCAACAAAGGAATCCACTGAGGTATATACTATCTCCACAGTTCAATCACCTTACAAAAGTGCCACCGCTGAACACACAAGACTTTTGGGATACATCTTAAATCTAAACCATGACATCTGTCAATAAACACTAGTGGCTTGATCAGAGTAAAGAGGTAAGTATACAGCTGATGGCCTCTTACCTGCTTGGAGTTTGTTAAATACAGTTTGGCTCCCAGATTTAATATCTGAAGTTTTACCAGATCGTCTTCACTAGTGAAGCTTTTGGCCATCTTCCTCAAAACATCAGGGGCAATTTTAGGAACTCGTTCACAGTTTTCTCCAATTAGCCAAAGAATACTTGCTCTAGCCACAGGAACCTAATATTAAAAGCAGATTACATCATTAGATACAAGATAATCATACTCTTAATAGTAACAGAAAACAAGCTTTAAATATTACCAAGATTTCACATGGAGTAGTTCTAACCACTGAACAATCTACCAGAGCAGCACTGAGCAGTATGCTTGTTTACATACTGACTATTCAGAGCACAGTTCATTTCAACCAGTTAATCCTTTTTTAAAAAATGTATTTTATACAGGGTCTCACACCGCAGTTTGGACTCACAGTGATCCTCATTTTTTCAGCCTCCCCAGTGCTGGGATTATAGGCATGTACTACCACGCTGGTCTCAGCTGCCCCTCAGCATGCCTGGGGGCAGGCCTAGGGCAGCTTGTGGTGCTGGGGACAGAACCCTGGTCCCTGCGCTGGCCTTAAGCAGGAGCTTAGTCTGCTGAGCTGAGCTATCTTCTGGCCCTAACTAGTTGATTCTTGTATAGAATAAATTTGAGGACTGGCCAGATAGCTCAGGGGACTAAAGAGCCTGCTTAGGCAGTCACAGGGACCAGGGTTTGATCCCAGGTGTGCTATGCCATGCTGGCCCTGCCCCTGGGACATGCTGAGACCAGGAATGAGACGAGGCATGGTGGTGTGCACCTGCAATCCCAGTGTTTGGGAGGCTGAAAAAGGGAGGATCAGTATGAGTCTGATCTGTGCAGTGAGACACTGTAGACCCTGTACTAAAATACATAAAAAAGTTTTTTTTTTTTTAATAAAACTGTTGCTTTTATTTTTCCTGCTATATTGACTTACAAAAACTAACAAAAAACCCTGCAATTTTTGGTCATCCTGTATTTAAACAATTGGACAGGTTAGTGTTAAGTATATATCTGGAAGTGTTTATATTTATGGATCTCCTTCAGTTATCAAAAAAATAAACACAAAGTGAATCTCATTAAAGCTAATTTAAAAGAGAATGCTTCAGAAAAGACCACAAAGGAAAAGCACTAATTCCACAAAGGCTAGCACATTCTGGGACAAATCTGGCTGTAACGGCCAAATGCTTCACATGGGCTCTGCTGTTTCAACACAAGGAATGCAGAAGTGAGCCTATGCAAGAAATACCGAAGTCCCCAAATCAAAAACTACCGACATCCTTTATAGAAACACCTGTCACCTTTGCCCTAGAACAAAAATAGTTCTTGACCTAAATACTAAAACATCTGGAGTTCTTAATGAAAAGGCAGGTTTCTAGTTGAGGTGGTGGTACATGCCTAGCACCCAGGAACACCCTGGAAATCTGAGGCAGAACTGCTACAAGTTTGAGGCAAGCCTGGGCTACATATTGTGTTCAAAGTCATCCTGGGCTACATAGCAAGGCCTTGTCTCCAAAAACAAAAACAAAGAAGGGCAGGTTTCTGTGGTGAGATCTACATGTTAAGATGATTCTTAAGACAAGTGGTCACAAAACATTTTTGAGAACCCAGTGATAATAAAAAGAATGGATCCATTAAAGACCATGAGTCCAAGTCAAAATTGTTACTGTCTTCTAGGTATCTGTATTTATAACACTGAAAATATATCAAACTGAAAGATCATCAAGGTCTGTTTATAAAATCATGAATCTTTGCTTATTAGCTGGTTAACAAAAGAAATAGGGATAAATGTGTCCAACGCAGCACTTTGGCATTATATTTTTAAAATAAAGAACATGTCAATATAATTTGTTTCCTTAAAAATCACTACATTGCTGCAAATTGGAAACCTTCCATCAATACCATTAAGACCAACATTTTAGAGTATGCAAATTAGTTGTATTACTATTTGCTTATTTGTATCTTCCCCTATTCCAAAAGGAATTTGAGAGGGTATGTAAATTAGTTTCTGTGAACATTTTCACCTAGCATAGAAAATTTGCTTTTATAATAAAAGCAAAAGCTGATGGTTATCATTAAGTGGTAGCATCACAAGATAACACTTTTAATGAAGTCTCTTCATAGTTTCTCGAAGATTTTGTATATATATAGTTTCGTATCTTTCATAATGACTATGAAAGAATAAGAACCTTTCCATAACTAAAATTTTATCAAAATATCATCTTAAAATCTTTCAAAAGAGCCATTTCATAGAATAAAAACAAAATATTTTTTAAAAATTCTAGTTTATTTTTCACTAGAAACTAAAAGAAATCATAGAAAGGCTTTAGATGAGAATAAGTATCTTTACTAATACAATAACAATATCATCTTTAATGCTTATAATAAGTTTAGTAAGACAGAAAAAATCAGTATACCTACATAATAATAATAAAAAAAAAAAGGTCTAAGTGCTATTACAAATCTGTTCATGCAGTGTGTTAAAACTAATGCCCCTACTGTATACTGATTTCTGGAAAGAAAGAGGTTATTTCTAATGTTCCAAAGGTTACACTGCATTAAGACCTTACTCCCAATTTATTATTTTAAATTAGGCTAAAGAATAGTAATTGAGTGGTACATTAAATTTTCTAGTGTGGAGCAATTCAAGTTGCCTTCCATTATGTAAGGTACTTCTAAATAAGAATATATGAGCAATTTCAGATTTCAGTTATGCTAGATTTATTTTTCTGAAATATTTTATTATATATTGCTCATATAAAAATTAGAATTCTACAACATATCACAATCTATTACCTCATTTTAAATAATTTTCTTCAGTAACTCACTTATAATTCTCTTTTGCTATTAAAGATAGTGCCCAAATGAAGTACAATTTTAAGGCTTTGTTCACATTAATGAATATATTATGACTTAAATCACAACATCTTAATACTGTAAGTATTAATAATATACTTATTTAAATACAACTTTTAAAAATAATTAAAAAATCAATAAATTCTTTTTCTTTGCTGGGGACCAAACCCAAAGCTTCACAAATGCTAGGCAAATACTCTTCCACTTAACTACAACCCCAACCACAACCAGTAGTTCTTAACATTCACAGTGAAAGTCTCAAAGTACTGGTGACAACAGGAAAACATCTGGGACTTTCTTATAATGAGTTAATGCCAAGTAAATGCCAAGTAAAACTTAGAAAAATTCTCTCCAAGAAACAATATCAATATAAATATATTTATAGCAAACAATAGGTTAGCATTTTATTTAAAAGCTTAGGAAACCCATAAAGCCAATGTTTTGTGCATTTTTCTGGAATCAGACTCTAAAATTCTCAGATTCTGGTCCTCCCTCCATCCTTAATTAACCAATAGGACTCTAAATTGTATACTGCTGATATTATATTATGAATATCTAGCTACTACTTTTAAATATGTATGCAACTGAAAAAACGGCAAATAACAAAATTCAGTCATTTTAAAATTTTCTATGGCCCTTTCAACCACAGAATAAACACTAAATTAAAACCAAATAGCATACACACAGGCACACAGTCATGTGTATGATATCATACTTCATTATCAACCCCTGCTTTTCAATATTCTCAAAGACAAACTGGATTGTAAATGACTTTCCCTGATTCATTGTTTTAAATGCCCTGAGCATGTGGTTAAGGGCACTTTTCAAACCTCCTACTAGAAGGCACTTTCCACTGTCATTTAACCCATTTATTGGTCTACAAAAACAAATCCCTTGTCCAGCCCAGCAGTTAGAAAGGATAACTAAAAGATCATACAGAACTGCAAACAGCTCAATTTAAAAACTACTGTATTTAATACCACCCCACTGTGCAGTCCAACAGTCTGAAGCAAATTCTAAAAACGCATAAATTTCATTTAAGTTTGTCAAAGGCAAACCAGTAGACATCTAAACAAACTTTATATATCAATGGTAAATCAGATCCAATATTGTATCAGCAAGGCAAGGAGAGATAATTTATTAAATGGCAGGCATCTGAGCTTAGAATATATAATGCGCTACTTTAATATGAATATGAATCTTTACAAAATAACATGTTTCAATTGTTCTTTTATAATATGAATCTAACCTGTCCCATTAATCATTATGTGAAATCCTGTTAAAGAGTATTTCTCCTGTACTGATATTTTGGAAGGGCTTAACTCCAACAGCAGTATTAACTACAAATGAGGGACATGCTTAAGGAGTAAATATTCACAATTAAATGAAATAAAACTTTAGTTTTCATATTTTCAACTGTGTTACTTAACTAAAGAACCAATGGGATCAGGGGGCTGGGGAGATGGCTCAATGGAATAAGCACTTCTCTGGCAAGCACAAAGGCCTGAGTTCAATCCCAGGTTCCGAAAAAAAAAACAACAACAAAAAACAAAACAAAACAAAACAAAAAAAAACAATGGGATCAAAATCTTGAATATGACAAAGCCTATTTGGTTTTCTCTTCTTTCTATAAAAGTTCACGTAGCTAACATCTACTAACCCCTTAGAATTTGCCAGCCACTCTTTTTAAGAACTTTACAAATTTCTCAATCACTGCAAAAACTGTATGAAGTAGGCTCTACCATTATCCTCACTTGACATATGAGGAAACTCGAGTAATAAAGAGGTTAAGAAACTTGTCCACACATCATTGCTTGTCAGAGGCAGAATCAGCACTGGAACGGCAAGTCTGAACCCAGAATTCACACTGGACCTTTGAACAGGAGGAATGCTGGCCAGAAAGCCCGGAAACCTGGCTCTGGCCCCAGACTGAGGGTGTCTGTCATCTCCATGGACTTCATTATTCCAAGGATTATTCCCTTGCCCTTTTCTCCCTTGCTGCCCTCTGCTATTCACCTATGAGCTAGACTCTGCTGAGAAAGCCATCCTCTTGCTGAGCCTGAAGCCAGGCAGGTGGAACATTTCCACTTCCTTTCTCTTTCCTCCTCCCAGATGGCTCAGTGGAATAAGCACTTCCCGGGCAAGCGCAAGGGCCTGAGTTCAATCCTCAGTTCTGCCAAGAAAAAAAAAAAAGAACTCTTTTCTCCTCCCAGGACACACAGGAGCCTAGGATTCTACCCTGGGGGAAAACATAAATATAATCGATACATCCAGGAATAGATTTAGAACATTAAACTGGTAACCAGGTGTTATGGCCTATGTCTAGTTGTGCCCCCAAAGCTTCATGCAGTTATGGGGCAGCTTCTAGAATTTGTGTTTGATTATTGTGGGTGTGGATGCTGCACTTGCAGTGGGGCAGGTAATTTACATTACAATGTAAGGAGGGGAGAGAGGCTAGCTAGCTGCCTGCGCTGCTGCCCATTCCCTTTGCTCTCTTGCTTTTTGCCGCTGCTATGAAAGGTTGCTCTCTGCCATGTGCCACTCTGTCTTGGAGCCAGTCAAGTATGGACTGAAATGTCCAATGGCTGTGAGCTAAATAAACCTTTTCTTCCTTCATTCTGGGCATCAGGTATTTGTCCCAGCAACGAGAGAACAATAACTGAGTCACCAGGTGCTTATTCAAATTTTTTTTTCAGTCAGTTTTTTAAAAGCCTTTTTTTGAGGGGTTTCTATTCCATACGACAACTGTTCTTGTGTGAAATAACTCTCTAAAAGTGGAAGACAGAGGTTCCAGGAATTGAATTACTCCTCTTTCCCGACTTCAAGGCACATATATGTCTACTACACGCTCACCATTTTTCCTGGGTTAACTTATGCCTCAAACCAGTGAGCATGGTCCTGCTTCAGCTTCCTCAGAGAGCACAAATGGGCAGTAACAACTCATCAACAGATTTTCATTTTCTCAAATAGAATGGTATAATAGAATTGCAATTACTAATTTTTCCTTTTAATCATTCCGTATTTCTTTTGCATCTTTCTGCCTTATAATTAAGATGAATTTTCTATTTTATTATCTTTCCAAAGAACCATATACAGCACTAATTTCTACTTTTTGGGAGAGAAGTATTGTGTATTGTAAAATACACTTTAACCTTTCTTAGTTCCCACTGTTTCACTGCTCATTTTCAAATTTCCTGGGAATAAATACCAGATTGTTTTATTTTCATCTATCCATTTTATTGTTTATTTTTTTATTTTTGGCAGAACCAGGGATTGAACTCAGGCCCAGTAAGCACTTATTCTACTGAACTATCTCCCTGGCCCCCAACTATCCATTTTTTAAAAATGGTGATATTTAACTTTATCCATGTCCCAAATATAGTATAAAGCATTTTCTCCAGGTTTTATGGAAAACCTGCTTTTTATTCAAGTTTTTCACTAATCTAAAAAGTACAGTTTTTACTTCCCAACTGATGCAGTACTCTGACCCTCTGAAATCTAATTTTATTGCTTAAAGCAAACATTTTAATATCTATGTTTTCCCTGTATCCAAATACATTCTTGATTTTTTTTGGAAAACATTCAATGGATAATGCCCCTAAAAGTAGACATTATCTGTCCAAGAGATAAGGCTTTAGCAATATTTATCAAATCTTTTTTCTATTACTTATTTCCTCTGTTTTTTACTTATATCTAATCACTAGGAATGCCTACTATGAGAACGCTATATTAAAGTTATCCATGTGGAGTGGTAGGGCACACCTGTAATTCCAGCACTTGAGACTGAGGCAGGACTACCTGACCTGCACAGCACGATGCCATCTCAAAAGGACAGAAAGAAAGGAGAGAGGGAAGGAGAAAAATAAATCTATAGTAACTATATTTGATCAATTTCTCACATTTCAAATAATTTTTTATTTATTTGACTGCCACATTTTTGTGCAAGTAGACTTAGAATTGTTATTTGCATTGCAAAATAATAATAGCCTTTTTCATTTTATAAAGTTCCTTTCTACCATGTTAGTTTTAATTAACTAAATTTGTTTTGCTTGGTTAAAATGTACTTGCCTGGCTTTGGGTTTTCAACCTTTAAAATTTAGGGTGTTTTGCCTATTAATAAATGGCTTGTGGCTAGGTTTTGTTTTTCAATCCAGTTGAAAGTCTGTGAATGAGAAAACTCAGTACATTCGTATTCACAGTTGGACATACTTGATTTTATTTCTTCTGTGTTATTCTTAGAATATATTATGCTGCATATCCCCATCACTTCCATCATTGGTAAATTTGCTATTTATTTTTTTATTTTTTATTTTTGTACTTTAGTACAGGGTCTATAGGGTCTCACTATGCAGCTCATACTCATAGTGATTCTCCTCTCTTCAATCTCTTTTTTTACTTTTACCAATCTGAAATTCCCACCTTTGCATTCTATTGATGGCTAATTTCTGACAAAAACAAAAATCAAAATACAAACCTTACTATTGGGTATGGTGCACATCTAAAGTCCCAGCTACTATACCTGAGAATCTGAGGCAGGAAGATCACAAATTTGAGGCCACATGCTCAACTTAATGAATCCTTGTCTCAAAGATGGGGTAGAAGTTGGGGATAGGGATATAATACAGTAGTAGAGCACCCCTGTGCTTGTTTCCCAATACCACAACAATGGGATGGAAAACGAAACGGAAAAAAGGGAGTAGAGAGAAGGGAGAAGTAGGAAGGGAAAAGAAACAGGGAGAAGGGAAAAAGTGAATAGAAAGAAGAAGGAAAGGGAATTAATATTTACTATAGGAAGTACTTGCTTGTTTAGTATCCAACAAACAGTGCAGAGAAAGTCAGTGCAATCAAAAATATCCTGTAGCTCCAGACTGAAATACAGTTAAATAGGACAAACTTTTCTTCTAAAAAACTAAAACAGGTCTTACACATTCTTGCAGGCTTCATGCATAAATCATTACACTCTCTTGAAACTGCTTCTTTTTCCTAACAAAAATGACACAAATTTGTGTCATTGTTTTCCTCCAGGTATATACATACTTTATTTTATTAAGAAATAAGTTATAGTCATGCCTTACATTCCAAAATACTTCCATGTAAACTTCCTTTAAAAAAAAGAAATGCTCTTATTAAGTACAACAGAATAGTTTTTAAATTAGGAAATTAGACTAAATCAATACTGCCTTATCTACAGATTTTGAGATTCTGCCAGCTACTGTTACGTCCCTTATGGCAGAAGAAAACCCTAAATTGTACATTGCTTAATATCATCAAGTCCTTTTAGGCTTCTTTTTTTGTTTTTCTGTTATTTAGGACGGGGCCTACAGGGTCTACAGGGTCTCACTACATAGATCGGACTTGTAGTGATCCTCCTGTTTTCAGCCTCCCAAGTGCTGGGATTACAGGCACGCGTCACCATGCTCAGTCTCAATCACCATCTCAGCATGCCCCATAGGCAGGCTGGCATGCTGGGGATCAAACTCCAACCACTGCATTCTGCCTAAACAGAAGATTTAGTCTGCTGAGCTATCAGGCCAGCCTTTCTTTTAAGTTTTTTTAACTTGAAAAACTACCTACATTATTCTTTACAATTCATAACAACAACATTTTTAAAGAGCATAGCTATACTGTAGAATACCTTTGACATACATGGGTCTGTGCAGGTCCATGCCCTGCTTTGTGGGCAGGCACGCAATAGACTTGATGCTGGCTTATTTTCATTGTACCCTACCAGAAAAATCTATGATCTCTATACTCTGTTCCCTTGGTTAAAGTAATATCTGTCATGTTTCTCACTATCTTAACCTCTGTAATTAAGGAGTAACTCATGAAGTTATACTTTGAAACTATACTGTCCTTTCTCAAATTTCCTCCTCCTAGTTTTTAACATTTGTTAATAATTCTTAAAATAATAATTCTTACCTGACTAATCATTGTAATGGTGGCAGATAATATTCTACTTGCATCACTCCTTCTACATGTTTTAGCTATTCTTGACCTCTCCCTTCTACATGCCCTTATCCACCTATCATCCATCTAGCTTGTATTTAGGAGTATTTTCCTAATTCAATAAATTATAACCCATTTACTATACTTATTTTATTGTTGAAAGAGTATTTTCCTAATTCAATAAATTATAACCCTTTTACTATCACTTACTTTATTGCTGAAATTGGCCAGTGGGACCCTCATTATCCCTTATGCTGGTTCTGATATCCTTTTGACATGTCTCTATTTCTGTAGACACTTTCTTGCATGTATTTATTTATACAGTAAGATATTCTAAATTCAATTTGTTTTTTTTTTTATATCTGCTCTCAAATCTGCCATTTCTCTAAATGTAGAATTATACTTTTTGAGGACTCTTCCTTTTTTTTGTTTACAGTACCTGTGTTCGAACTTGGGACCTTATACTTGCCAGGCAGACACTTAAGCCTCTGAGCTATCACCCCAGCCCAGAGAATCAAATTTTAAAACCAAGATCTACCAGGACAAGAAATAAAATATTGCTACACCTTTCAACATGCACGAACCTTTTTTTTAAACATGCACAAACCTTAAAAACATGTTAAATGAATGCAGCTACAAACAAAAGTATACATACTGTAATACTTGATTTATATGATATATCTGGAATAGGCAAATCTGCAGAGACATTAAATAGATTAGTAGTGGCCAAAGAACAAAGGAAAGGAGGCTAAGGAGTTTGGAATATAGGATTATTTTTTCTTTTGGATAATAAAAATGTTTTGTAACTACATGGTGGTGATGGTTATACAACCTTATGAATATACCAAACACCAATGAATTATATACTTCAAAAGGTAAATTTTAGGGTATGAAATTATATCTCAATAATAATGTAAAACAAGAGCTAGGCATTGAGGTATGTTCACTGGTGCTATGTTTCATATCCTAAAAGCACAACCCTGGGATACAGATGTTTGTATACCTATTTACAGACTTACATGTGACACATAAATGAGCTTAGAGCTATATACAAATTTGTGTTTATATATGTTTGTATGTATACGTAGAGACTCTCTACATAGAAACCTACAAAGCTCATGCTGCTCTCTCCAATTCCAACCCAACACTATGGAGTTCATTCTGTCCTCTGCCCTTTTAAGATCTGTAATCCCCTCCTAAACAGTAAGGAATCTTAGACTCAGAATTTGGAAGCATATTATAAACAATCTTAACCACTACACTTGAACACATCATTTATTTTAACAGGACTATAATTAACTGTCTAAACTTTAGGAGAATTCAGCAAATGTCTCTTCAAGGATACTCACAGTGATACTGTCCAAGAGTTTGGCCATATGTTTAATAATTTCACCATGTTGTACAGGTTGCATTTGCAGTAATTTTTTTATAACAACCACACTTTCTGCAACAACTATTTCTGAAAGAGACAGAGATTATTCACATCAAATATATGTTATTCAACTCAAATGCAGTATGTTTGGCAAAATGTAAACAAACTAGCAAGACATTCTGTAAACATTAAATGACTAGGTAAAAACTATAACTATATATGCACTCACAGATTCTTTTGGAGAGCTTGTCTTAAGTAGAAGAGTTAACTTTAATCTCTAACTTCTGCTGCCTTGGCCTAGTTATCATCCCTTTGTGCTGCTCTGTATCAGGAAAGCAAATGAGGTTGGACTGTGCTGCTCCATAGTGTGCACTGTCTCTGGCCTTCAACTTTAAATATTGCTCTTCAATCTCACCATCTATATAGTTGCAATCAAACATAATCTAAGCATTGCCCCTGTTCTATAGAAAATAGTAACTTTAAAGTTTTCATTAAGTGATTACATGAAGAGAGGTAAGCAGGAAGGATTAGTTATCATTGGAAAGGTATTGCTGTAGAAACAGCACAGACAGCCAAGCCAGAAAGAACAGGATTGGAAGCTAGATGGTCTCCATTCATCCCCAAAATCTCCTCTGCTGGTGTCTACTCAACTCTGTCCTCTGAGGCTGACTTGTAGGCTACATCAGATTCCCCTGGCCCTGGCTTCTAACTGTGCTTAGTCAACAGGAGGCAAGCACCTGCAGGAGATGGTGACACTAGCCCCACAGCCTCCTGGGTAGCCCTTCATTCACCCACAGAAGTCTTCTTTTTGGAAGGGGCTCTCTCCCTGCAGCACTTGGTAACTACCACTACTCCAATACCTCTCTCCTTTAATTCTGGTACAATGACGAGTCTACAGCCATACCACCCTGAATGTACCTGATCTCATCTGGCACAGTGACGATTTTCAATACTGTTAGCACTGACCCCAGAGTGTAACAGTATACCTTGTCCCTTAATCCTCCCCACACTTCATAAACAGTCCCTGCGTAATTTTTTTTTAATCAGCTGCTTCTCAATGTGCCATCAGTTTCAATGATGCCAGGACCTAACAAATATAAGAGATCCTCAAATTGGAACCTAGGAGTGAGTTATAACTAACGAAGCTAATCATGATCCACAGTTACCGTTTTGGTGGCACAGAAGGAAAATGTGTATAGCTGAACAGTGCCTGACCTTTGGGGATGATTCTTACATAAAATATTACTAATGCTACTGACACCAAAGAAACAACACTGCCTTTACTTATTACTGGTGTTTCTTAAATTAACAAAGCTTCAAAGATATTAGAGGTCCTCCTGGAATACGTTACAAAGATTTGTTTCAACCACTGATTTTTAAGGTTTGGCTTTATAGAATCTCCACACTTGTGTTCTGATTTTTTTAAAAACTACATTTTGTTATCTAGCTTCTTTTAAGAATATAAACAAAATGTATTATGACATAATCATTATTAAGCATACATATTTCAAACAGTATACCTCTTTCTCCATTTGAACTAAGGAATATAAGTAACGGTTAACTCACTGATATTGCACCTTATGACATGTCAGGCTTTACCTTTTCATTGGAACATAAGGTACCTTATTAGTATCATTGTATAAAGGTAAATAAAGAAGACATACTGGGACTACATGACTTTCAAAATCTGAACTCAGAACAAGGAAGTATCATTCTATCTCTAATTATGTTCTGCTTTTATAAGCAGATAGTACGATTACATGTCAGCACTTATCTCTGTCGCTTTTCTTGTCACTGGCATGCAATACCTAGCACCCGCAACCTAAAGGAGGAGAGACTTATTTGGGTTCACAGGTTAATCCCTGGTTGCCTGGCTCCAAAGAAGTAACAGTAGCATGGTAAAGGAGGAGAAGCTGCTCACTTCATGGCAGCCTGGAAGCAGAGTGACTCAAGGAAGGAGGTAGGAGGGGAGCTGCACTCTTCCAACTGACACCCACGGTAGCCCACCTCTTCAGCCACCCCCCAACAGCAGGTGGCTATGATGCTCCCATATCCCATCATAATACCACCACATGGTGCTGTAATGGAGGAAAACAAGACCTTTCTGTCATCAGATTTATACTCAGTAAGAAAAATAAAATGGCTTTGTAGAAAATTATGATGTAAAGGAAAACATGGTTAACTGTAGCTATAAAGAATTTAATATAAAAATATATTTTAAAAATTATTATAAAATAGGACTGCTAGGCATGGTGGCACACACCTATAATCCCAGTACTGTGAGGCCAAGGAGGGAGGACTGCCATGAATTGAGGGCAGACTCAATTCATGGCAGCTACTTAAGTGAGTTCAGGGTCACCCTACACTACATAGTGAGACTCTGTCTTGAAAACAAAAAAATGAAAGAAAAAAAAGGGCCGGCCAAATAGCTCAGCTGATTAAAGCACCTGCAAGCGCAGGGGCCAGGGGTTTGATCTCCAGGCTTGCCCTGCCGGCCCCACCCCCAGGGCACACTGAGACAGCAACTGAGACTGGACATGGTGGTGCACGCGTGTAATCCCAGCTCTTGGGAGGCTGTAAACAGGCAGATCTAGAAGTAAGACCCTGAATACCCTACAGACCCTTCCCTAAAAATACAAAAAAAAAAAAAAAAAAAAAAAAAAAACCAAAAAAAAAAAAAAAATGAGTCTGAAGGGAAAATGCTGCATAGTTTAATTATTTACATGCAAAGGAAGAAGAGGCTGCTTAATATAGGTATTAGGCATCATTTATGCTTTGCAGGTAAATTGGTTTCCTACTGTTACAGTCAGAGATTATCACAAATTTAGTAATTTAAAACAACATAAATATACAAATGTATCATCTTACAGTTCTAGAGACCAAAGTCTAACATAGGCCTGTGGGGCTAAAATCAAGGTGTCAAAACAGAGCTGTTTTGCCAGTTCCATGGAGGACAATCCCTCACCTTGCCACTTTCTAGAGGCAGCCACCTGCCTTGGCACCTGGCCACTTCCAGCAGTTACACTGTGATCATTACTTCTGGGGGCTCTGACTTTCCTGCCTATTCTGATGAAGGATCCCACATCTTACTACCCTAGAGCAATCCAAATCATCTCCCTATCACTAGAACCTTAACTTGATTACTTTGTAAAACCCCTTCTGCCACATAAGGGACAGGCTGCAGGTACTGGAGTTATCTTTGTCTCCTACCTCAGGTGCCTGCTAATAATGCCTTTCAAGTAATCAACCTCACATTTCTGATATGCCTCCTTCTGGGTGCTGAAGACTACAGCAGTATTGTTGTTCCACCATAAGTACAAAATGATCCAGTTGTTCTGGACCTAGGTTTCTTCCTCATTCTCAATGAAATCTTTAAGATCCTAACTCTTAGAAGTAGCACATCCAAATGAAGAGTCTGCAGTACAGGTAGACTGAATCATTTCTCAAGAGTGTGAATATTCAAACAGTATAGTTACATATTACATATAAGCAAATAGTCTAGCAATTATAAGTAGTTCAAAACAGTCTAATTACACGTAAGCAAACAGCTGACACAGAGTAAGTGGTCTGCACAAGGGAACAGCATGACACTTTATACTACTCTCTTTCATATGCAGACTTGAGCTCTATGAAGAGAGGAAACTTTTGTAACTTAACTATCTTACTATTCTGTTCAACATTTATTAAGAGCCTTAACTGATTCAAAATCCTCAGTAAATGCTTCAGAATTATTAAAAACCAAACAAAAAATTTTTAAAAAGTATTTCATCACAATTCTTTTATTTTATAAAGGATAGCCATAAGGTTATTCATACAAGCAAATTTTCTTGTTATCTAAAATAAATTATCTTAAGCAATTAAATTATCATAAGCCAACAAAAATTTCTACTAGTTGGGCTCCTTTAAAAATATGTTTATATAATTCATTTTAAATAAAAACAATGAACTCTTTCAGGGCAGGCTTCAAGTCTACCTAGAAAGGTTTCCTTAAGGGCCAGCCAGACAGCTCAGCAGATTAAAGTGCTTGCTTAGGCAGATGCAGGGGCTGGGGATTCAGGTCCCTGGCCTGCTGTGCCGGTCCCACCCCTGGGGCATGTTGAGACTGAGATTGAGACTCTTGAGACTGGGTGTGGTGGCACATGCCTGTAATCCCAGCGCTTTGGGAGGCTGGAAACAGGAGAATCACTATGAGTCTGATCTTTATAGTGAGAACCTGTAGACCCTGTACTAAATACATAATTAAAAAGAAAGAAGAAAAAAAAAGAAAGAAAGGCTTTCCTTGTGCCAAGACCAGAGTTGGGGATAGGTACTACAGTTCCAACTGAAACATACTAAATATAAGCACAAACAATAGTCTAAAGGCTGCCCCTGAGGGTTATAGGTACACTAACTGAAAAGATGATGAGGTATTAATTTCACCATAAAAAAAAAATCAGAAGGCTCACAGATTTTCAGAGCCTTGCAAGATCTTATATAAATTTCAAGAAGCTGAGGCTTCTTTCATAGAATTTATTCCTTTAATAGGAATATACCTTTAATAAACTGTTGAGACTGGGCGCGGTGGCACATGGTGGCCGCTTTAATAGGAAGGGCTCTTTTGTCAGGACTGGTTATTTTAAAGTTAAAAACACTACTATTTTAGTATTATTGATTTTAATATCAAAGTATGTTCAACCTCTTACTTTCACTGATCCAGATTTCCATCCTACAGACAGTACCCAAATTACGGGGTTTTTTTTTTCAACTTTACTGTGAAACAAAACTGATGCATTCATTAGAAACCACACTTGGTATTTTGATTCTGGATCTTTTCATGAGGTAGTGTAAACAGCACATAGCACAGGATTCCCTGGTGATGGCAGCAGCAGCAACAGGAAAAACAACCCATGCTCATTTCAGTTTAGGATGGTTTTACTTGGGCATAATATGGTCATAATGTGAGAAACATCTATACACCCTAAAGTGTAGAATATATGATAAACAGATAATTAATCAGGCATTATGGGCTAACGATGATTATGAAGCCAGAACCTAAATAATTCAATTTACATCTGTTATTATTTGCACTATGCAAAAAAACCCTCACGACTGTAAAGAGAATTTGAATTTCCCAAAAACAAAAGCCGAAATATTAGAATTAAGTAAATCCTACCTTTTGAGAGGGACTGCAATTGCTTCTTAGCCTTTTGGCTAAGATCAAGTATAGAGTGGCTACAGATTTTATTAGTCTCCCATTATCTCACTATAAAATATTTTATGCTTAGTCTCTTCAAAATGCTATCGGAGTACCTTTTAAAGCCAACACAAATATTTTTGGAAAAATTACTATTACAAAATTACTATTACAAAGCCAAAATAATTGCTTTAAAATCCACAGCTTAAAAATTTCACATCAAATCAAGCGATTACAAAATTAAGTTGAGAAAATGTGATTACACTTCATATTTGAAAGAAATATCAGTGTTCTAATTAATTTTTGCTTTATGCATGCAAAAAATTTTTGCAATTTTAAAGGAACAATTACCATAATAGATCTTAGTTCATAATCTGTAATGTTCTGGAGTTCTATTTCCAAGAAGTGTTTTATTTGGTCAAGAAAATGTCATCATTAAGCATAAAAGAAAATTAAAAACGTTTTTAAAGTTGCATTTTAAAGTGTGGCCTACAAAGAGAGACATAAAAGATGTCATTGTTTAAAGTAGAAATAGATAAAAATATGTGATACTTGTCTTTTTAACTTCTCCATCTTACACAGACAAAGAAAAATTTAATCCATTTCCTTGATAATTTTAGTTGGTACTAATTTGGTGTTTTAATACTGTAAGTAGGAAAATGTTCTGGTCACAATATCTTGAGTTTACAACTTCATGATTTTGTGTTTACAACAAAAGGCAATTCTATTTGGGAATACATTTTTTCTTTTTTATCAGAAATACAACAATGCTATGGTTTTCTAAAAAGATCTTCATATAGGAAAAACAATCTACATATAATCTGGAAAATAACAGGATTACTGTGGTTAAAAACTTTTGCTTTCCTCTATTTAGGACAGAGTCTACAGGGTCTATGGGGTCTCATTACACAGATGGGACTCCTACTGATTCTCCAGTTTTCAGTTTCCCAAATGCTGGGATTACAGGCTTGCGCCACCACGCTAGTCTCAATCGTCTCAGCGCGCCCTGCGGGCAGGGCCGGCATGGCACACCAGGGATCAAAGCCCAGCCGTTGTGCTCTGCCTAAGCAGGTGCTTTAGTCCACTGAACTATCAGGCTGGCCCTAAAAACTATTTTTTAAATAAAATATAAAATCAATTTTGTGTTATATTTAACTTCATGGCTGTTGTGTAATGTAAGTCTGTATCTTGATAGGACATAATTATATTTAAAACTTCAAAAATAATTTCAATTTTTTTTCCTAAAAATTATGATATTCCTAGAATCTCATGGTATTCAAGTATGAGTTTTCTAATAAATTATTCTAAAAATAAGAAGTTAATTATTTTTCCCCATTTGTTTAAAACCTACAAACCACAAAGAAAGAAGTGACACTTTACTTGGAACAGTATAAAGTCTAGATTATGTATTTTGCTGGATATCACTTAGTCAGTTTCTCAGAGTGCCTATCAGCTCTAAAGCATGAAGCTGTCCACATTGATGGCTTTTACATTTTGCTAATTTTGATAAAATTATTAGGGTAAATTTCTGGGGAAGAAAAAAATTGAAGAGACACAGTTAAGTATTTTTCAATCTAGCCAGTTCTCCAAGTTTTGAAGTCATTTGCCTGCTTTTAGCACCCTCTACAGGTAAATCCAATTATTATTCATGACTTACATGTTATTAAAAAGTAGTAAAACAGATTTTATGCAAAGGTTACAATGAAGGTGATTAGTAAAGAAGTAAACAAATGAAGCTTTCACAGTTGAGCTAAGACAAATATATACTGTTCACTAAGCTGCCTAATTTACTGAAAAACACAAGGTACACATTTGTATACATTTCAATAAAACTGATACTTCTGTGATCATACTACTGATATACTGAGAAAACTAAAATGTAACACGGATGGTTACAACTGGAAGATCATATCAGGCATATTCAAACTACCAACCAAATGAAGATGAGATGGAGTTGAGAACTCACCATCCCTGTTAGACAGCAGACAGACCAGGCCATTGAGGCAGGTGTCCGTGACTTCCGAGATGCTGGTGGCACATCTGCCAATCGTCTGAATAGTGGCTGCTGCAAACTGTTTGTCCTGGCTTTTCACATAGGTCTGAAAAAATATTTCACTTATTTCACAAACTGGTACTACCAAGGAATCAAATGGGGGTGGGGGGCAAAAAAACACTATTCTATTAAGCTTTGTTGATATAGAGAATTCCAGAAAACAATCTCATAACCACAACATGAGGCCCAACAGATGATTTCATTTAGTTTTGCTTTTTTATGTCTGTGCCTACAGAAGAGGCACACCTTTAAGCTAGGCTCATTCACCTGTGGCCACTGTGGCTTGAGACCCCAAAACAGAGAGTAGAGAGCAGTCGCCCAAAGACGGCAATTAGTTTAAGGGCAAGGCTGAAAGAAATGATGAGAACTCTCTCTGGAGGTTTCAGTTCATTTCACCAGCAGCTTCTGTGAATCTATGGGAGAAAAGGTTACTTTTTCAGAGATACTAAAAACTAGAACAGGAAAAAATGAACCAATATGCTATTAGCAAATACTTTACTCTCAAAGCAGCATCAGAATGGTTGTAAAGAGATGTTAGTGACAGTAAGTACTATTTCAATAATGCATTCATTTAAAATAAGATACCATAGTTTTGAAATATTTTCACTAAAAATATCCTTTTAAAACATAGTAACTGATGTTTATAAAACTTAATGATTTAACAGAAAGTTAAAATAATCTTCACAAAATTTTAACTGTACTAATTTCAAAGTTTAGAACTTTCCTACTTTAAAAATGAAACATTAAAAATGAAGCATTTATTGTTCACAAAAATGTAATTTTATTATGCATACTTATTGCTGAGATTTTAAAAACATTACCAACCACATATGAGAAGTACACAATAAACTGTATGATTATCTAAATGCAAAAGGAGTAATAATAAAACATTAACTAAATGACAAATGGTAGAAGAAAATCTAGGGATATCCAAAAATAGTGAAAATGGCATCAAGAAGGTGATTAAATGTCAAAAAAATAAATTAAGCTCTGTTAGTTCCAGAGGTAAGACCAATTTTATTTAAAATTATTCCCAGATACCTAACTAGCTTAACTTAAAAATATATTTGAGTCATTAGAACAAACAATTCACTATTTTAGTGACAGTTATTATAAGCAAAATTGTATGCAGCTACAAATACAACAGAAATAAGGTACTCTTTTAGGCAGTGATAAAAACTAAGAAAGAATATATGTAAAAGTCTGACTGAAAAATTCTTATTAAAATATCCTGATAGCAAACGTCATAACTGGATTACTAACATTCTTAAGCAGGCACACTGTGCAAATGCAATACAATGCAACCATTTCAGAAAATTAGTAAGATTCCCTTCCTACAATCCAGCAGAAACAACATGGACACAAAGTACAGTGAAAGGACACCCAACAATATTATACACGGTAACAGTAAAAGGGACAAGGGCAAAAAAAGATCAAAACTTAAAGACAAATGTGTTAAGAATCAAGTAAAAATCAAATTCAAGAAATGATCTATAGCTATGACAGTAACTACATAAAAACCTAAAATACTTTAATCTCACTTATTGAGAATTTTTGTTGAAGGAAAAAAATACAGCATGAAGATAAAGTAATTCAGCAAGAACATACAAACCAGGGACATACTACTGAAAAAAGTGTAAGATCACACAGTAGAAAGAAAATATAGGGCCGGGGACATAGTTCAGTGGAATAAGCGCAAGGACCTGAGTTCAATTCCCGGTACTGGAAAAAAAAATAATAATAAAAGAATAAAAAATTAAATATATATGTATGAAAGTAAATATATTGTCCATACAGCTAAAAAGAAATTTAATATGGGATGCTGAATGACTATAGCAATGAAATAAATTTCTAACAGTTACACGTGCTAACTGTGGGATTAGGACCGAGTACATGGTTTATTTGCTGAAAAAGCTGTTGAGGGGATGTAAAGCTCCAGAAGCCATAAAGACACAGGCTATTTTTTTTTCCCATTTTTTTGTATTTAGGGAAGGGTCTACAGGGTGTTCAGGGTCTCATTACTAGACTCTTAGTGATCCTCCTGCTTACAGTCTCCCAAGAACTGGGATTACAGATGTGCGCCACCACACCCAGTCTCAATTGCCTTCTCAGCACACCCCAGGGGCAGGGCTGGCATGGCAGGCCTGGGGATCAAACCCCTACCCCTGAGCCTGCTTGCAGTAGCTTTAATCTGCTGAGGTATTTGGCTGGCCCTTAAGCTCTCTATTGTTCTGCTCCACTACTAAGGCTTCAGAGCTGTCTCTTCTGTCATAAAGAGTACAACGATCATGACATAATTTCTCAATGATACTTTGTGGAGAAGCACAGCTAGGAAGCCTCTCATCTACTGGCACATAAGGTTTTTAAAAGTAAAAAGAAAAAAACCAAATAAAAATTTAAAACAACAATTTTTAAAAGTCATGGTGAATCAATTATAAACCGTTCTGCAAGGATGAACTAAGGATGTAGCACCTAAAACGGGAGGGGAAAGTGGACAGGAGCAGTCATGTAAGGAATTAGCACCAAGTATGGAAAGGGTGACCAATGAGGACAGCACAAAGAGACAGAATTGGTACCAGAAACAGTATTTTGAACAAAATCAGTTACAAACTAGTCTTCCACATTTTTATAAAATATAATTCTCAATATATTTAATGTTTACGCTTGAAAATATATAAATTTCTTAGTTGTACATTCTGTCAAAAAATTATTTTTACTTACACAAGAACATATTTTCTAGATTTAGATATATATTTAACTTGGGAATAAATACATTGTAGAAGTTATAACTAGTAGTGTATACAAACCTGAAATTCTCGAAGAAGAGTTGATATGTTGGCTTCATTTGCTAAGTTTGTCAAAATTTCAAGCTAAAGTACAAAAATAAAAAAGAAACTGAACACTGTAAAACGCACAAAGAAAGGAATTTAGTACAGGCTAGGCATCTTATTGGAAGTTTCTGGGTTGTGGTTTTTTTTTTAATAATACTATCATAAATGTAATATATGCAGGTAAACAGAGAATAGCTATTGTCTAAAAATAGAAACTTGATAATTACATACTTCTGAAAACATTAATTAAGAAGAGAATCTTAAATCTTCACTAATTGCCCTAACATTATGATTTCTAATTAACCTAAAGTATTTAAGCTAGTTTGAGTTTATTTTTTATTAATAAAACAATTTGTCCTCCATGTAATTCTGTTTTCCACATACTGAATTGTATTGGTTCTCCTACGTTCTATAACTCGTAATACTTAAGATATTTTAACTTCCTCTTCTGAGTTCATATATATGACATGTACAAATAAAAATTTATCTCCAATAGGTTTGCTAAAAACACTTCTCTTTTCTCACACAAAGTATTTAATCTGAAGGCACAGAAAGCAGAAAAATAGAGAACTGAAGAGATAAATAGAAAACAAAACATAAGATGTAGATATTAATACATTTGTATTAAGATTTACATTAAACTTAAATGATTTAAACACCAACTTGGGGGCCAGGGAGATAGCTCAGTGGAGTAAGTGCTTGCCTGGCAAGCACAAAATCCTGAATTCAATCCCTGGTACCATTAAAATAAATAAATAAGTAAATAAATAAGATTTTTAAAAATATATATATATATTAAAAACACCAATTAAAAGATACAGATTGCAGAAGTGTTTTATATATTTGGTGTTCAAGGCATCTATTCAGATAAATGCACTGGGATTATCTTCTTGTAGATTACATTTTGGCTTTTCATTTTATTTTCATGAAAATATTTTAACTGTCTTAGAAAACTTCAAAACAATAATATCAAAAAGCTCCATGTATAGTACAAAGAATTATTTTCTTTCTGAACCATCTCAGATAAGAATTGCCAGTCTAATGATACATCATCCCCAAATACTCCAAATATTTCCCATAAATAGAACAGGTCCTACAGGCCACAATAGAATCTATACAATCAGGACATTAAACTAGTCCGATACTTTCATGCAACTGTCACAATGCACTTAAGTTTCACTAACTATATTGATAATATATAATAAAAGGATCCAACTCAGTATCACATACAGTAAGTTGTCTCTTTTATTCTGGAAGTTTTCAGTTTCCTATGATTTTTGTGACTTTGAAACTTTTCGGGGCTGGGGAGATGGCTCAGTAGAATAAGCACTTCCCTGGCAAGCGCAAGGGTCTGCGTTCAATCCCCAGTTCAACCAAAAAAAAAAAGAAAGAAAGAAACTTTTCATAATTACAACACAGTTTTTTAAAATTCATCTTTCAATTTGTGTGTGTCTTAGATTTCTTATGATTAAACTACTTCCATGTGCAGAATACATTTTCACAAATACTTCATGAACAATTCCTCCTCTCCCCTTTGGCTTGCACTGTCTCGATGTGGTACACTATATGCAGACAATTTTAACATGCCTAGGTGTGTTTCTAGCTACTTATCCCATTCTACTTTTCTGTCTGAACATCACATTGTTTTTAATTATTATAGCTTCATATTATTAACTCCACACTCTTTCATAATATCTTAGGTTACCAATACTACTCTTCACCTCCTCTTAACCATTTAATCTCACAATCAACCTACAATCAACAACAAAAATATTCATAAAAACTCACCCATACATCATTTTTCTCAAACATCCCAGAAAATTAGCCCCACTTTTCCACTGACCATAGCACTCAATTTAAATCTCTGTAATACTTAAAACACACAACACTAAAACTACCCACCTCCATGTTTGTCTCCTTCAGTATGCTGTAAATATTCAAAGTTGGGAAATACATTTTAATAGTATTATGTCTAAATGTAACAGAGTAACTATATATAACAATACAGCCTGGAATATGTAACAAAAGCTCCTTAAGTGTTTTTTGAAAGCAAGACTCCATTTTGCACATGCTAGAGGCTACAGCATTTAGATGTTACAGTATATGAAAAAGGAAAGCATACATACCTTCAATGTCTTGATCATAGTTGGATCAGTTGACCTAACATAGAAACTCTTCAGGTAAGGTTCAAACATGCCCTAGACAATAAAAAGAAATATTTAAATATATTTATCATACATTTGTTTGCTACTTAAATTATGCAAGCATAATCTACATACCTTCCTCTGAATTGACATAGTTGCTATATTTTGTAGGACAATATACTGCACTTCCCTAGAAATTAAAAGAGAAATGTCATTGGTGTTACAGTTTAAACTGATAATGACTCAAAGACTTCAAACACTCATAAGTGGAGATTTTGGAAAGTGATTTAATTATGGGGTCGCTATGCTGACTTGTTATAGGGAGCTGGAGCCTGGTAGGAGATGGTAGGTCACTGAGAGCTGCTCTGGAAGGAAATCTCCCTCCTCAACTTCTCCCCTTGCTCTCTGCTTCCTGGCGTCTGTGACATAAAGCACATTCCTCTGCCTAGGCCCTTCTACCATGTACTTCCTGGCTCGGAGCCTGCCAACTATGAGCTGAATACATAAACCAAAATAAATCTCTCCCCTTTAAGCTGCAGGTGCCAGGTATTGTGTTCCAGCAATAAGAAAGTGACTGAGACAACAGGGTATGTTTTTCAACGCAATATCTTTATGTAAACAATACAGTAATGACAAAAAGTGAGCAAAAAGTTTCATGTGAATAAAACTCTTAAATATACTAGTGAAAGTTTTTACTAAACCATAGTTGTTTTTTTGTTTTTTTTTTTTTTTTTTTGGGCAGAACCAGAGATTGAACTCAGGTTCTTGCACTTGCCAGGCAAGCGCTTATCCTACTGAGCTATCTCCCCAGCCCCTAGATTATTTATTTATTTAATTTATTTTTGGTGGCACAAGGGATAGAACTCAGGACCCTGTTCTTGCCAGGCAAGCACTTACTCCACTGAGTTATCTCCCAGCTCCCTAACCATGGATACTTACATTTTCTTTCTAGTGCATTTTTTTTCTGTAAGGTAATAAATTAGATGTGATTCATCACGAAGAAGAGTTAAAACCAATTTTGTGACAGGCTGGAAAAATGCCAAGTTCAAGTATTACCTGCAGAAATTAGGGAGCCCTTGCCACAAAGTGAAAACATGAAAGAAGGCCCTGGGTGAACTCTTCAGTACACAAACAACTCCCCATTCAGTTGTGTAATAGTGTACTTCTAAAATAAAATAAAAAATCAATATTGCAGCTGCTTTAAATACATGTGAGGAGGAAAGTATTCTTCAGGTCAATAAAAACCCAACAATAATGTTAATGTAAGTCAGACTTAAAAGCTCATTCTTCAATCAACCTGGCCCAGAGTAAAGCTCAGGTTACGCATAGTCATGTTATTTTAAAATCCAAATACTTAACAAATTGAATTTGGTATTCAGTTTCACATACAAGTCCACATCTTTCTGATATCCTTTGCATCAACGATCGAAAAGCAAAATTACTAAGTAGATGAAACAAAAGAATGGGTAGGCATAAATGGAGAACAGAAAAACAAAGGAAATGGCATACTTGGCACTCAGGAATAGCAAAAGCCAGTCAGGAATAAAGCTACAGATTGAGGCTTACTTAAGAAAAATGAACATAGACCTTTTCTTCTGAAGCCAGATAGTGAAAGCATACACTAAGTGAAAGAAGCTAACTTAACTTAAAACAAATTATTGTAAAGTATTCAGGGTATATGAAATAGCTACAGCAAAGGTACTCTTAAATATAGAAAACACCACAAACAACATAAATCTGAATGGAGGGAAAGAAGTGATGAAGATTAATCCCAGAGTCTTGAGTATGCTGAGCAAGTACTCTAACCCTGAATTACATACAACCCCAGGTCCCAAACTACTCTTCAACTTGAATTTACAAATCACATTGGTATGATCAGGGTCTGAGATGTGCTCCAAAGTCTTATGTGTTGAAGTCCTGGTCTCCAACACAGTAACATTCAGACTGGTTGATGACAGTGCTGACTTCCTCAATGGTTTAATCCACTGATGGGTTCACAATGTGATGTCTATTGAGAGGCCACCAACACTGAAGAGACAGGGCCTAACTGGAAGAGGTGGGTCACAGGGCCATGCCTGGTATGGTCACATTTCATCCCTAGACGCTTGTACTCTGCTTTCTGGCTGCCCTGAGGTGTTCAGCTCTGCCCTGCACACACTTACCTTTCACTGAAATATTGTCTCCCTACTGGCCTGCAGCAATAGGGCCAGTCAACTATGCAGTAAAACCTCTGGAACCCTGGACAAAATTAGCCTTTCCTCCTTTCAGTTGATTTTCTCCAGCATTTTGTGAATGTAACAAAAAACTGGCTAATACACATAGGAACTCAATAAGTCTTTTGAGTTGTTGAAATGAACCACTACCTTGAAAGGACTTAAATTGAAAGTGACATGCCCTAACTACAAGAAACTAAAAAGTATGTAATTCTTTAAAACCAGTAGCTTCAAAAATTTTTTTTTTTTTTAAAAAGAGCAAAGTAAAATATTCTAACGTAATAAGAAGTAATGATTCTGCCGTAAACTACATTAACTTAATCTATGTATTGTTCTACACAGAATCAAATATAACACATTGAGTAAGCCAATCTTATAGTACTTCAGTATAGTTTTTCAGGAATGCCATTTACTAAAGCTCCAAAACATCATTCCTCCTACATCTACAAACATAGAACACTAATCCTAGACTATTGTTGAGAGTATACACCACATGCGATAAGAAATTTTTAATTTTTTTGTGTCTCAAGTGTAAGACTTATGCATTTATTTATTTATTTATTTATTTATTTATTTATTTATTGAGGGCGGAACCAGGGATTGAACTCAGACCCTTGCACGCGCCAGGGAAGCACTCATTCTACTGAGCCATCTCTCCGGCCCCATTATGTATTTATTATTGAGGTAAATTTTAAGAAAGCTTTTATAATGATCTGCTAAAATGAGATTTTGTGGATAAAATATAATCAATGCTATGCATTAAATATCTGAAAATAGATTATATTTGCTCAAACTTTACTTCCAAAAAAATACAAAAAAAAAAGTAAAATCATGGCCAACAACTTACCTGTTGCTACGAAGTAAACGTACTAGTGATTTAGAAATGATGCCAGCTTCTGACTTCGGGGATATGTGCCAATACAGCTGAGCAACTGCCATAACTACCTAAAAAATAAAGCATCAAAATAATGGAATTCTAAATAAATCATGCACCCCAGTTTCAAATATATTCTCACCCATTATTTCTTCTAAACTACTACAAAAATCTATATAAAATAAAATGAAAATCTATATAAGATACAAAATCTATATAAAATAAAATG